TACTAATCACTAATTAAATAATTAGTAAATAGTTTGAGCAATTGCGTATTACGGTTAGGCATTATGTGAGCAATTAGGAGTATTTATTCATTTTTTAAAAAGTTCTTTGGTTTTAAGGCAATTACAATTTTGTATTTTTAATTATTAATAATTAATAAAATAATTGATAAATATTGTGAGCAATTGCAGATTTGAAATGAGCAATTAGTGAGCAATTTTGTGCACCTATTCAATATTATAATCGGTTAAGGAATAAAAAATTTTATACTTTTAATTATTAATTACTAATTAAATAATTAGTAAATAGTTTGAGCAATTGCGTATTACGGTTAGGCATTTTGTGAGCAATTAGGAGTACTTATTCATTTTTAAAAAAGTTCTTTGGTTTTAAAGCAATAACAATTTTGTATTTTTAATTATTAATAACTAATAAAATAATTGATAAATATTGTGAGCAATTGCAGATTTGAAATGAGCAATTAGTGAGCAATTTTGTGCACCTATTCAATATTCTGATCGGTTATGGAAAAAAAAATTTGTACTTTTAATTATTAATTTTTAATTAAATAATGAATTAATAGTGTGATCAAATACGGTTTTGAATTAAGCATTTCTTGAGCAATTAATGGTATTTTGTCGTTTTTAGAAAAGTTCATTGGTTTTAAGTATAATAGGGAAAAAATATTTTGTATTTTTAATTATTAATAACTAATAAAATATTCATTAATAGTGTGAGCAAATGCGGATTTGAATTGAGCAATTAGTGAGCAATTTAGTGCACTTATTCATTTATCTGAGCGGTTATACTTCCAAGCCAGCTTCTTTGTGGTGCCTTACATCAGGACGTAAAAATGAAAATCTGTCTGATATTTTTGACACATAAAGGCAGACGTGTTAGACCCAAGCAGCAGTTATATTACCGCAAAAATGGGTCAGTTCGAGCGGGAAGAACAACGCTCTCACAGAATAACAGCGTAAAGTAGCAGCTTAATGTTGTTGATTTGTATGGCGACTGTAGAGAACCGGAGGCCGTTTTTACTGGAAACGAAGCATATCAAATTCCATCTTAGTCCTCATGGGTCTGAGAAACACAATTGCATTTTGATTCTTAGACGTAGATGTCTATACGTATTGTTAATCGCTTTTTATGTTTGATTTATTTGATTTGTTTATTGCTGTTGTTATTTATTTTTTCTTGTAAATCTTTTCGCGAAAAAAAAGTAAAACCGTCACCGTTTCGTTTCTTGTTGCTTAAACACGGAACCCTAAAAATGTGAATAAATAAAAAAAATACTCAGTTTACTCAGTTAAGGAAAATCATAGCCTAAATACGCTCTACATCCTATAAATGATCGTTTTCTTAAGCCCAGATCTATCTGTAAAGGGCACTGTGAGTAATGGCAATTTGAATTATAAAAAAATCAAGGATAACAAAAACACGTCACACTAATCCGCAGTAAATTCATAAATTGTTTACATCTATACGTCGCAACCAAATAGCTTAATCAGCCTTTCTGTTAACAGCCCAACATTTTAACTAAACGGCGCCGTTCAACTAGGTGCCTAAATGATAGTCAGCCTTAGCGTTTTCTACATTTTTAATAAACTGGCTTGCTAATGCTTAGGCCATTCGCATGATAGGGGAAAACAGCGCCATTCAACTAGCGACCTGAATGATATTCAGCCCATGCATTTCAGATTATGCGTCTAATACAAACATTGAAGTAATATCTACTTACGTACTAGAACAGCTATCTCAAACAAAAAATGTGCGCTACTCTGTGTTCGCGCGGATGGTTTTTTTATCGTAGAATAAACATAGGTAGAATGACCCGTAGGTAATAGTAGATTGTATTGTTAAATAGGTAAATTATATCGAGAACAATATTGTAATATTGTCATTTATTTTGTGTATTATATTTGTTTATTTAATATAATATTAAACGATATTATATCACAATTACATTTTAATGATATTTTTATCTAAATATTGTAAAAGGTATCTAAGTCAAATATAAAAAAACATACTAAATGTATGTTTAACAAAACTTATTAATTGATTAAAACTACTTTTACAGATTTTATCGCGTTTTATTTATTTTATTTTTAATACCCGACGTTTCGGGTGCTTTCCAGCAACCGTAACGTCAAAAATAAAATAAATAAAACGCGATAAAATCCGTAAAAGTAGTTTTTATCAATGTATAGTGTTCCCGTAAATATAAGAAATCATTATGAAAACTTATTAACATAACATTTAAATTACAAATAATTTATTTAAATTAGAATAAAAGCCGTTCATAAATGCTGGGCACGCGAGAGTTAAAAATGGACGATTTATACCACTTTGACTTTGATGCGGAAACCTAAAAATAAAATAAAAGAATAATAAGCAGATTTAGAGTCGTGGTAGCTCAGTGGTTAACGCTCGCTGTAAATATAACAGAACGCGAGTAACCCGGGTTCGATCCCCGCCGGCACCAATGAAATTGTTAATTGCAATTTTAAGTGCTGATTTACCACGTGCTCGGCGGTGAAGGAAAACATCGTGAGGAAACCTGCATGTATGAGGAATAAGAAAAAAAATATTTCAAAGACATGTGAAGTTCGTCAACACGCATTTGGACACCCGCTGTCCACGGACACTTCCTTGCCCTAAACCCTCTCAGAAATGAGAGGAGGCCTGAGCCCAGCAGTGGGACGTATTATAGGCTGTAACTTTACTTTTACTTTTAAGCAGATTTAAACATGAAAAATTTTGCCAAATTATAATAACTTATATATGTTTCTACAAAAAAAATGTGTATAATAATATATTCGTCCTATACTTAGGTACCCACAGAAATATCGCACCTGAACATATTAATTTCATAATCTATATTCTCTGACACGAGATGGCGTCTTAAGAATAATTTGTTTTATTATTAATCTATAATACTTTTTTATTGATTAAGTATCTTATTAAACGATGAAAAGTAATTCCTTGGTTTTTACTGACATTTCTTGAATTATTTGTGCAATATCTAAGTACATACGACGGCACATTTTTTATCAAGAGATTTTTTTTAAACCAACACAACACGTGACACCTCTACAAGTGCCTAGCGAGTGACTGATTAAAGTGCGGTGTATGCACCGCAGTTGAGTGGAACAGAGTAGCTGAGTGCAGTGTCGCCTCTAGCTAGTACGTAGTACATAATAGCTCAATGAATACAACACTTCATGGGGCTGTAACCTACTGCCGCTGATATTACGAGATAGTTGCAATGTTGTATTAGACGCAGCGGCTAAATATCATTACGGCCCCTAGTTACACATAAAAAGGCTAAGCTCTTAATTGAACGGCTAATTAATTGCGACAGCTTGTACTATTTTTCATTTTAATTTTGGAAAACACCATCAAATTTGTTGATTGCCGACGCCATTTTGACAGTTTCCAGGGTTTCAGCGCTATGTGGCAGAAAGTGAAACTAAATCTAAATGAGCAGGCCAGGCAAGTAATGAAACGTCGATCCAAGTTATTTGCCTAGCTGTTTGATTAAATGGCTGAGTATCATTAAGGCCGCTAGTTGAACGTCGCTGTTTAGAAAAGAGGCTAGGCTGTTGATTGAACGGCTAATTAAGCAAGTTGGCTGCGACATATATATAAGAACTCGCTGTAGGAGCAGTGAACTTTTGATAGACTGTAAAGGTAACAAGATCATAACAACTGGCATGCCATCTGCATTTTGATTCTTAATCGAGAAGAAATGTAGGTGCCTACTGTCTATGTGTCAAACGATCTCTAATTGGAATGCTATAATTAATAAAACTAATTAATTAGTTTTATTTTTATTTTATTTTGGTCCAATCAAAGCAGAAATCCAAAATTAATAATTGAAGGTAGCCTTCGTTAACTATAACATCAAGACGTCATGCACCGCAGCTGTTATTTTGACGTTACAAGCCTTCACTTTTATTTATTTGTACAGATAACTTATTTTTACACACAGGATCTCACAACTAAGTAACGAAGTGACTAACGCTTAGTCCACAATAATCTTGACGACGTTTCTTCCTTTATCATCATAAGCAGTTAAAAGTCCATTACTGACATGAGCATGTGCTCATGTTTAGCTAACGGATTTATTGTAATACCAGACGTCTGCGCATTTGAAACTGCTCTTGCTCCCCGTCGCCGGCCTAAGTATTTTGTGACTGGCATAAACGAAACATTATACCGATATTTGCCGAAATCTATAAGAAACTAGTTTCCCTAGTCGCCTCTCACAAGTGTCATGAGATTCAATCCAATTGTTATTCAAATATGTACCAATTCATCTCGACTTGGTACATATTTGGATAAGGTACGTGGAATATTAATCACTGTAACGGAGAAAAACCGCATGTGACATCATATTATCCTGTGTCTGCCACTTGAAATAATATTGAAGCAACATAAGTAAGAACAAGTTACAGACTCTTAACACTTTACTAGTGGAACTGTAATTGATTCTATAACTATAACTGCCATCTATACAATAGTGCGTCGGCGTTGTAGTCGCGCCACAATCGACACGAAAACGAAATGACACATGAAAGTTCCGAAGTACTGCGATATATAAAATAGCTCCGAACTATCACACAGAGCATTGGCCGCTTTGCAGGCTGAACATCACAGAATACATTTATATACCCTGACGGGACTGAACGTCTAGCCCAGCGGGAGATCTCCTCTTTTCCTTCCATGGCCAAAATATTTTAATCTTCAGACGTAATTGTGAAAAAGAGTCCATGTCCAACGCCATTGATAACTTTCGACAGCTTGTAGGTAATAGTTGTGACCATGGTTTAAAATTAAATTATAGAACACTATCAATACACACATAAGTTTCTCTTAACCAATTGTGCCATAAATATACGTAATACTGATGTATACTTTAAAACACATTGTACAAACATTGCACCAAAATCTGTTTTTTGCGAGATGAGGCGACGTAATGTCTTAAATAAATATTTACCAGGAGTTGAAAGGGCCGGTCGACGTAACGCTCGCGCCAAATTTCCACACACAGCGCCTTTAGAAGTTAGCTTACTGCCGCTGCATCGCCACTCAGTATCTATAAAAAAATATATACTTAAAAATACATACTTACAAAAGTACCTATATTACTGCTATTCGTGTATACAATCAGTAACCACCAGCTATTAAACAATTAAATGGAAATAAAACAAAATTAAAGATATTGTTAATTAAAAATGTTTTTTTACAATCTTAATGAGTTTTTTAATAAAATTAATGTTAGTAAGTAGTAAATTTTAAATTTATTTTCTTAATTGTTGCATATCCGATATGGATACTATATGTTTTTGTACTAAGATCATATTGTTGTACACAGTTATGCAATAAATGTATCTTAATTTTTATCTTTAGATTTCAGCTAGCAATTGTTGCTTGAATCTACGCTGACGTGGACGTTTTAATGGGTGCTTAATAGTCTTTGTTATAATTTAGTAGAAATATGATACACAACGTATTTCAATGCGAAAAACTTGAAACAGCGTAACAATTAGAATATGAACAAAGATTTTCTCTGATTAATACCTAGGTAGATGAATTTTTGTTATTAGAAAAAAAACTGGTAAGCAAATCTATTTTGGGTGCAGTGGGTTGTCCGTGATTGAGAAACAATAAATAGAGTCAATATAATTTTGAAATATTAGAATACATAAAAGTACATTCTCATTTTTGACAAATTGTTCGACTCTGCCACGGGAGGAAGAATCATTTGCGCAGGTGGAGGCGGACGCCATATAGAAAAGCGCGTCCACTGAAGTAATATACGTAAGTACATAATATATTATACTTCATTGAGCGCCTTGTGTTCTGAGCGCCGTCTTGCTTGTAAGAATAGTAAAAAGCGATGAAGAATTGAAGTAAAACTTCGGAAGGCTCTGCTGATAAAGGTATATATATATATATATATATATAATATTCCAACTCTGAAAATCGAAAGAGTTTAACTAGAATTAACCATTATGACAAATAAGTAAACGCAATATTGTGTCGTGTGTAATAAAAACAGAAACTTATTTATTCAATGTAGATTATAAACAATACTTATTGAAAGTCACTTTTTTTAATTAAAAAAAAAACCTTTATCCTGGAAAGAACCAGCAAGTAAACCAGCGGGACTATTTTTTTCAAATGTTAATAAATGCTTACAATCATGTTTACAATTAACAACACAAGACAAATTAGAAATAGCTTGGTAGCGATTACCTTTCCCAGGGGTACATGAATGGTACGTGAATGGTTCTACCATTAGCCTAAAGCGGGCTACATACGAGACGATATCGGTGGCGATCTAGGGTGGAAAGAAATCGGGGCTTTTATCGGGGCAGACCCTACACACGGGCCTGCCTAGCAGTACGCGTTCGGACTTGGAGCGGAACGCATATGCGGTAGATTTCTTCAAAATAGCTTCAATTCTCTTAAAACACAAACGTGTTGGTTTGGCATTTGCCCTATCGGTTAATTTATTCGAAAATAGAAAAAGAGGAGTTGCTGGGTGAAAAAATGGCTCTGGTGAAAAAACGTACTAAATGATCTGTAATCCAAAGACATGATAAATTTTCTCCGGATGGATGAAGCCAGTTTGTACAACCATCTAGAAAAATGATTTCGCCACTTATATAATAACATCAATTTCTCCTACCTATGCTATTTAGTTATTTCTTCTCTTTGTTCATTTCTGCTTTGGTCAAAATCGGGTTATGTACTACACACAACAAACAAAGAAATAAAATACTTTTGTATAGGTAATAATATGTAATGTGTACTTTTATTTTTTAATGTAATCTTTATTTGTAGACTAAAACTTTAAAAAAATAAAATAGGTTTTTTTAAATTATAATATATATTTTTTTAATATAAAGAAACCTTTAATTTCGGACATACTCCCTTCTAAAAAGCTTGTTTATTGATGTGGAGATGGTATAGGAATAAAAGTTAGTTGTTGATGAGAGGATGAAGGCACGTAAGAGATCGAAGTGTGGTCTTGTGGAGTTGTAAGAGATATGAGTGCGGTCTTGTGTTGATAGCGTTGGAATAGGAGTTAGTTGTTGAGGAGAGGATTTATCTTCTCCTTACTTACTTCATACACCCTACTTTACGAACGGCAATAAAACAATTAGTTTAGTAGGCATTCTTGACCATGTCACTTCGCAGGGTCACAGGCTAGGGTGGTTTGAGGGACATGATTTGAATTTCGATAGATTTTTTTTGTTTTTTTGTAAAATATCAGTGCCATAGGCTCCTACTCCGTTCACATGATTAAAATGTAAAAGTTTTGTTATGTAAAAAAAGGTCATTCAGTATCACTGTTTTGTTAACGTCCTTCCGCGAGGGCTGCCGGCAGCGACTGCCAAAAGAAATCGGGCCGATGCGCCTACACACACGCAGTACGGAGGGGGCGGGGCCCCGATCTAGGAAGCATCGGCTGCATTTTTGCTCCTGCCAGCCGATTAAGGAGGCGATATCGGCCACGACTTAGGATGGCCCTATATATCCATCTATCCAGGCCTGTGACCCTGCGAAGTGACATGGTCAAGAATGCCTACTAAACCAATTGTTTTATTGCCGTTCGTAAAGTAGGGTGTATGAAGTAAGTAAGGAGAAGATAAATCCTCTCCTCAACAACTAACTCCTATTCCAACGCTATCAACACAAGACCGCACTCATATCTCTTACAAATCCACAAGACCACACTTCGATCTCTTACGTGCCTTCATCCTCTCATCAACAACTAACTTTTATTCCTATACCATCTCCACATCAATAAACAAGCTTTTTTAGGAGGGAGTATGTCCGAAATTAAAGGTTTGTTTATATTAAAAAAATATATATTATAATTTAAAAAAAAACCTATTTTATTTTTTTAAAGTTTTAGTCTACAAATAAAGATTACATTTAAAAATAAAAGTACTCATTACATATTATTACCTATACAAAAGTATTTTATTTCTTTGTTTGTTGTGTGTAGTACATAACCCGATTTTGACCAAAGCAGAAATGAACAAAGAGAAGAAATAACTAAATAGCATAGGTAGGAGAAATTGATGTTTTTATATAAGTGGCGAAATCATTTTTCTAGATGGTTGTACAAACTGGCTTCATCCATCCGGAGAAAATTTATCATGTCTGGATTACAGATCATTTAGTACGTTTTTTCACCAGAGCCATTTTTTCACCCAGCAACTCCTCTTTTTCTATTTTCGAATAAATTAACCGAGAGGGCAAATGCCAAACCGACACGTTGGTGTTTTAAGAGAATTGAAGCTATTTTGAAGAAATCTACCGCATATGCGTTCCGCTCTAAGTCCGAACGCGTACTGCTAGGCAGGCCCGTGTGTAGGGTATGCCCCGATAAAAGCCCCGATTTCTTTCCACCCTAGATCGCCACCGATATCGTCTCGTATGTAGCCCGCTTTAATCGACGCCAATTCGACATACTTTATTAGCCAGGCGATTATGAGTAGACGTTTCCACTTAAAAGTGAATCTGATACGATCGAAGGGAGAATAATTATCATGATACTGTCCGACTGTCGGATAGATACAAGTAATTTGTTTATTTAATTATTTACTGAATCCTTTTAACAAACACAGGCTGCAGCTACCGGGTGGTAGCGGCGTAAGAGAATCCAGCATCACATTTCGTCATGTAGGTGTCATAGGAAACAACTATGGGAAGGAAATCCCAGTAAGATTTTATGACTTTTTATAGAATACAGGTGGCAAATGAGCACACAGCCCACCTGATGGTAAGTGGGTGCTGTGACTAATAGACATCCACATTTAACTTCGATTAAGAATCAAAATACAGATGCGTGTCACCCCTGATGGGTGAGATGCGTCGATTCCAGTAAAACGGATCACCGGTTCTCTACACTCACCATACGAAACACAGCAGCATTAAACTGCTATTTTACGCTGATATTCTGTGAGAGCGTGGTCCTTTCCGGTAGAGCCGACCCGTGTTACAACCTTAACATAGCTGCAGCGTGGTACTATCACGTATAAAATCCAATGTACTGCAGTTTAACCATGTTTATGTAACACCTTCCATCACCATTATTAGCCTAGGTATCTCTGGGGCTAAGCGCTCGCCGCAAATGTCACAGCACGCGAGTAACCAAGGCTTGATCCATGTCGGCACTAATGTAATTGTTGATCGCAATTTTAAGTGCTGATGTACCTCGTGTTTAGCGGTGAAGGAAAACATCGTGAGGAAACCTAATTGTCTATTGTTGAATACTTCGTTGCCCTAAAACCCTCTAAGAAATAAGAGGAAGCCTGTGCTCAGGTGTGGAACATATATAGGCTGTACCTTTACTCCACCTTATTTTACGTCGTTTTACTCCAAAAAAAAACCTGCCAATCCGTTTGCCAAGTTTCACGATTGAGGAATTCGTCGGGAAAGGACAAAGCGAAATTCTCACTACAACGGGAGAAACCCATGTCCAGCATCGAAATTACATAGTCTGATGAATATAAACAGTAAACAAAGGGTTACAAAGAGTGAACTTATGGTTTAGAGCATCCTCTAACCAGTAAACACAAGTTGTGAGGACTTAGTAGTGGTTTTTGGGATTATAATGATAATAAAGAATTGCTGAATTGGCGGGAGCTCTAAGTCTCGGTGGAAGTCGGCGTTACGGATGTAATAGGGTGCGTTCGTAGCCCGACGACAGAAGAGGATTTGAACTCTTTGTAGTTCATTTAATAATCTAGGTTTAGCATGAGTAAAAATAGGGGCCGCGTAGTTCATAACGGGTCGTATACAGACCTTATATAAGGTTCGCTTGTTGCGAAAGGAACATTTTACTGTGTCTGCCCAAAATGCTGTTGTACCCATGTAAAATCGTGCGATGCGAGTTACTTTCTTGATATTGGGCTCGAAAATGAGCCTCGTATTAAGGGTGACGCCTATGTATTTGGCTTTTGTTTACCAGAGGATAATTGCTAATGATACAAATAAGTTACTGTATTTAGACCTTATTGTATTGTTTACCATTTGGTAAACACGTGTAAGCAATAACAATATTTTACAGGGAACCTTTATTGTTTGCACATTCATTTAAAATGACTCATTGATAGACTGATCGAAGTTGCAAAGGTCGTCTTCGTTATAACTTACAGTTACTGAGGTGTGATGCCCAAATTATTCTTTTAATTTATAGAGGGTTTGTATTTTAAGAAAAAAGAGGTTTTGTACTTCGAGTGGAAAGGAACACAAAATTTTATGAATTGATAGAGGTTAAAGTTATCAAAGTTCTACGTATAATGGTCAATAGGGGCAGATTTTTGTAAAGTTCTATAATAAGTATTATTCATAATTATCATAATTTCGTTTTACGGATTTCCCCACCACCATGCAATTAAAAACCATTTTTTCCGCGCAAACCATGTATCCTGGCTTTAACGCTTTAAGGTGAGAAATTAAGAAAATTAAAAAAAAAACTAATTGCACTACTTTAATCCTTAAGTATTCGTACTAATTTTAAAGTTACTAAGTTAATAAATATAATCATTTAATAATTTTTCCCTATACCAATATGAAATAACCTCGTAAAAAAAACATTCTTAAAACCTCATTTTATATTTATATTTTATATATATATATATATATATATATATATATATATATATATATATATATATATATATAATATATATATTGTTGCGCGCTATAATTAGCGCCTGGTATGTGGCGGCTGATTATTAGCGCCATCTGGTATCAAGCAACAGAAATAGGAGCGTCAAGATCTTTCTAGAACTCTCCCACTAGCGCCATCTACAACCCTAAGCTCGTAACATTACGTAAGAATTTTAATTTTTCAAGACTTCTTTCTTTGTGGATGCCTACTTAATAAAGGCAAGTTATTGTTCCAATTTCACGCATCTACATCCAGCGGCCTGAGCAATATTTTTCATACAAAATTTGAACCATTCTTTTAAAACCGTAAGAGGCAAATTTTATTATTTAATTAATTTAAAGCATTATATATTTTTTCTCCCTTCAAATTGAACATAATCTACCCTCTTCTCCCTCCCCGGGCTAGAGGTTGTTTTAAGAAATACCAAAATATTTTAATACCATACAAAACTGCATACCCTCTGCCCCTGCGCCCTCTACCGTAACGGGTTATTTTGAAATCGCAAAATACGTATTTATTTATTTTTTAAATACAACACTCTCAGCAAGTTTTGAGTCAATCGCTCTGTAAAATATTTTTGTAATAGAATAATAAACTGTAACACCCTTATTACACACTCTCAGGGATCGAATTTTCCAAAATGATTTCATAGCGGAATTCTACGTCATAAAAGGTAGCTACTTTACCGTTATCTACAGTCCAAATTTTAGATTTCTCCTTCTAGCGGCTTAGGTTTACACACAACACTTTAAAAGTCACTTAGTCTAGTTTAGTATCTATGACTCAGTATATAAAGATACACAAGATACACAGTTATAGTAGATACACAGTAAACAGTGACATCTGTCGGTAAATGGCAAAACTAAATTTACGGCAAATTAAATTTTATTCTCATCGTTGTAACTATGTCCAATATAAATTAAACCGATTTTAATTAAACAAAGACTAAACTTACAATATGAACAGTTACAATATAAAAGCAACACTGAGGTAATGGATAACAATTATGATATTTCAGGGTAATTGGAAAAAAAAATCTATTAAAATGTCTGGAGGAAATAGTAAATAACAATATCATATAAAAGTATATCTAATAGTATATTTTAATCTTTTTTGAATTAATTCCAATGAAGAAACGCCCAATCATGGTTATAAAAAGATTTTTAAAGTTTGTTTTCAATCAATATTGTGTACAATTACCCCGCCTGACCTTATTACGTTTTATGTACGAAATCGGATTTTAATTGAATCATTTTTCTTCTTATTTTATTTAACTGTTTTCCTTCTTTTTAACTTGTAAAATTCCTGACTTTACGACATTGAAATGCATACTCGCTGCGTTAAATGGCCCTATCGGGTGATCGATCTTTGAATAAAATTTGAGAAATTCGCACACAATCATAACTTTGTCTATGTGTGTGTTAGGTACTTAAAATAAAACGTGAAAAATATATAGGTTGTTTCTTTCCTCTTTGTTGTTTTTAGTGCCATTTTAAAAATTGGATATAAATATACATATAATTATTATTTCTATGTAGATATATCTATGTGATAGCTACTGTGAATAATTTTCTTAATAATATACATATTATTCCTAGTATTATATTTTAAAGGATAGAACATAATGTAATAATCACGGGTAACAGGCTTACCCATTAGTGTATTCATTATTTGTAGCCTCGTCGGTGCATCTATACACGGACGATCGACAGCGGTTTGAGGTCTTCGCGGTAGTACAGGTTTCGATGGCCGCACACCACCGCTTTCCGTGGTCGCTGGCCGCCTTCGTTGATAAACCTGACCCATTGTAAACTTCTCATCGATATGATGAGGCGAATCCTCTTTTAGAGATCTCTGGATAAAAATATTATGTTATTTAATTTTTTAACTATTGTTAGTTTCGTATTCAATGTGTAAATTGGAGACAGCGCAATGAAGTCAGTAGCTACCTGAATCGTTTTTACCACACCAAAACTTTTTTAATAAACGAAAATAATATGATACCATCATCTTAATCGTAAAAGTACTCTATAGGACCAAATTATTCTACAATACTTCTTTTCTCTTTCTTTAGATCATACAAGTCCACTGTTGAACACTGTAATGGCAGGCCTCTGTCACTCTTGCTACCTGCGTGAAATAATTACCTAAAATCGCGACGCGCCCGGGCGAAATTACGCAGTCAGGGCTAGCGCGTTGGAGACGATTGAGTGTTAAAGTTTTTTAACGCTGTTTACGTACCTAAACAGTTTTATGTAAATACTTGTTGAAATAGTTTTTGTTTATTGTTTAGTATATTTAATTGTAGGTAAAAATTGTTGTAAAAGTTTTAATGTATTTTAAAAATTATATATTATGTATTTGATAAATTATAATAGCAAAACGTCGTTCCTAGTTCCTACTATAACTGTTGCGTGGATAGATACTAAATGAAACTACCAACAAAAGGTTTCATATCATTCTTTACCGAAGATATATATATCATTAGTTACCGAAGAATTTTAGAAGGAAATTATGAAGAATTTTTTTGTTAGATAGGTACTCACAGCACAAAAGAATTAAGTAATAATTTGGTCTACAGAAGAAATACCTAAGTACTTTATTACAAAAATTAGTTAAAATTTACTTCACTATCCAAGTATTTACTTACATACATACCTATACTTGTATTTTGTAATTAAAATATTTTAACTTATAATAACACAAAATACTGAAATTAAAACTTTGTATACTAAGAAGATTTTTAAGTAAGTAGAATAGATCACATTTCTGTTAGGAATCGTATTTCAGGTTTATTTGTTGTTTACACTATCCACGTATTTCTTCCAAACCAGGCGTTGCGATTCCCGACGAATGACCTTGCAATTTGCATGCGTTAAGCCTCATTTACATTCAGCCCCTGCCACTGCTCCTCGCGCTACCGGCAATACTTCGCTAAATACTGCCGTAGCATGCCGTGTATTTACACTCTGCCCTACCACTTATATCACTTTTGGCTTTCGACTATGGCAGACGTCGAAATACTTAAAGCGTCCGCGCTGTGTCTTCTTGCAATACAAAATTATGTTAATAATTTAAAAAGATATCAAGTGCAAAAGAACACAGATAGATAGATAGAAAATTTATTTACTTAAAAACATGGTTTATAAGATGATCAATGACGTGGAACTGACATGTTTTGCCATAATTGCAAAATTGCAAAAATGATATGAAATAAGTGCAGCTAATTACACAAACCCAATGTTACATTTTAAAATTATTGCATTGCAAAGTTAGGTACAAACATTCTTTTTGAATTCAAATATTATGTACAATTAAATACTTATACATATCCACTATATTTGAATTCTTATACAGTAAATTGTTCATAAATTATTAATTGAATTATTACATTATTTTTACATAAATAGTATTAAATATTATATGAGATTAGTTAAGCTATTATTATTTTAATAATTACACTACAGTATAAATTAATTCATAATTTTAAATTACAATAAAATTATAATTTAAAAATCTCAGGCTATTATGCAAGTATTACCATTTAACTTATTTTACATTTTAATAAATAAATAATCAATATGAGTTACTAATCGTTTTAGAAAAGAAAAATAAAATGTCAATGTTCATTAATTCCTTAAACTAAATTTTATATTAATATAATAAATTTGACGAATTAATAATTAATTATGTACATAGGTACTATTTTATCTCAAGAAGAAAATTCGTATTCGCAGAAGATGATGAATTCTGGTTTTTATCGTTGAAATCCCATGTAGTTTTTTCTGATTCCAGCAGTTCTAGAAACTTTATTGTATTTTCATTATTCCACTCGAAAGGCATTTTAGTAGATCATACTTATTTAATAACAAGACGGCGCGCACGTCCATTCATCCAGGCGCTTGGCGCGAATTCAGCGATGGAGCTGAATGTGAACACTCACTGCCGCTCGCACTGCCTGTCCTTTGACTTCCGCACGAAAAACCGACATTTGAGGGATTGTCGGGCAGTGGCAGCGGCAGCGACAGTGTCAGCGCGAGTAGCCTGTTTACATACTGTCGTGCCCACTGCCCTGCTCACTTCCCTGCCCAACTGGGCTGAATGTAAATGGGGTATTAGGCATCGCAGAACTCACATAGGGGCGAAAGTATGGTCAGTCGATCATAGTCAGAATAGGTACTTCACCTAAGTAACATAATTAACATTTCGCAATGTATTTTTTTATTTTCTATTGACATCCCATAATAACCACGGAAAGTCCGCTGTGACTTAGGAAGCGGAAAAGATGCAAAGTAATATGGACACTTACGCGCAGCGATAAAGTTTTATTTAGATTGCGTTCGCGATTTATCTGATTAATAATAATTATGTAGGCTATTAAACGTCGGCAAGCAGTTGACATCAAAGGAGTGCAACTTCTATACGTAGTACTATTATTTATTCTGTGGTAATGGGCACTACTGGGGTGGATTTGCATTGGTAATTACAGTACCATGTGTTTCGCACCTTTGGCATTGCTCCCATTGATAATCTGGAAAATTTACGTTTGGCGTAAATTTTATGGATGGATCTTACGAATGGAGCCATAAGATCGTTTTATCATTTCGTTAAGTGGCTTCTTATGACATCCACAAGGTACCATACTCAAATAACAAAAACAGAAAATGCCTCTCCATCAATATATACGAGCGAGAAAAACAAACAAAATGTAAAACTATTTTATTAAATGGAAAACAGTTGATTACTGAAGCTTACTGAAAGCTATGGTAAATAGAAAACAGAAAACCTGTAACCTGATATTTTTTAGCGATGAACTTACAAAGGCTGACAATGGGATTAACAAAACAATTAATATTTATAAATCACATTTTGTACCTGATACATTTGTGAGGAAGTTCCAGCTGTATCCTCAGTATGTGGAAGAAGTCCCTGCTGTAGTTTTGTATCACGCTCCTGGTCACTCCCAGAGTCAGAATCGGATTTGTTACCAATGTCTTCTAGGTAGTCGTCTGCTGTTTAAATAGTTTGACAAGTGAACAAAGTTGTAAATTCAAGTTTGTATCCTGTAAAGACAAAGCAACAGAGTATGGGCATAATGGGGGCAATATGGATGCAAGTCTCAATACTGTTCTTCGTGGCAATCTATGAAGAACTACATTCAGCAGGGGACCAACGAGGAGCCAGACAAATGATGACGTTGATGATCATGATAAATGAGTTATACGTTTTCATTACAGATCACTGACGATATCTTAAATGTTTATTACGCAGATATGACGGATTTCAACGACATATTCTTTAAGTATTTTATTCATTTGTTATGCTATTTCTATAATAATTTAACGCTTAAACTGACGACAACGTGCCAAAGCACTCAGGGTACCTGACTACAACAAAGCGAGTTCTGGATTGGAATCTTAGCGGTAAAAGTAAACATATTGAGGAAATCTACATTTCTTCAAAGAGAAGAACATAAATATCCAATCCTGAAGTAATTATTTGTAACCCATACAAATACTTGTTCCGTGCGGAATTCGAAACCGAACTCCACAACAGTACTAATATGAGTAAACTCGTGTACATCATTTGTACTGAAGGTGTTGTTCCCTAGTATTATTACCCATTACTCCCGATTTTATCATCCAATCACGAAAACATACCCTGCTCGAGGACTCTATGTTACACCAGTGATGCACATTCCCGTATCTTCCCCATTTTATTGAGGTCAATTATTTTCTTTTATATCTATTTTTTACTAACTTAAGCATCATCAAATATTTGGGTGTTCAGTCTTATATTGACAAAACTTAGTTTAGTGGTCGTGTTAACAAACACGACCACTAAACTAAAAAACCGAAATCCTTAGTAGGATACTAGTTGTTTCTCATCTATTAAGGTAAGATGTAGGATTATATCAGTGAATATCGCATCACTGCCAGAATTCTTATGTAGTTGTCTTATGGAAAAATGGTATTCTAAAATACATACTGTTCACATTTGTATGCAAAGGCTGATCGTCTAAAGATGTCAACATCGGCAGCGTAGAAGCAATAATTGAGCGATATCTTGGTGATTCCGAAAATGGAGTCCCATTGAGAAACAGGCGACGAAGAGAACTGCATACGCCCAATGTCCAAATGCGACCAGATTCTGATATAGGATTACTGGCAACAAATTTAAAAATTTTCATCAAATATCAGTGGTAAGTGGATGCTGTGGCCCATAGACATCTACACCTATCCTCGATTAAGAATCAAAATCAAAATGTAGAAGCGTTGCCTGTTGCGTAGCCATTCGTGCTACTACCATAACATAGCCGTAGCATGGCTCTACCACGTTTAAATTCCTTTTTTAACTCGCTAAGCCATTGCGTTTTACAATTTCCATCAGGTGGGGTAGCACCTAATCAAACACTGGCTTATAACGGGCAAAGATATAATATGGCTATTTGTTTAAACGCATTCTGAACGAACGTGTCATTTCAATAATTCTACTCCTCCTCCTCATCAGTCTGTGAAAGTCCGCTGCTTGATATGATGTTCCTCTTCCGTCGTAAAGATAACTTACAGTAACCGTCACACTTGGCAGGCGCGGATTGATGATAGCAGGGGCATTTGATTTCATCATTATCATCATCATCATTAGACGTTGCCCACGAACAACTTTAACACCAGGGGAATTGCAGATACATTGCCGGCCTTTTAAAAAGGATGAGGCCCATTTCTCGAAAGTCTCCCTAAGTCGTGTCGGTCTGAGAAAATTGTCAATGGTAAACAATTTCGCAAAGAATCCGTGCGAGGATGAAAACTCCTAGTAACCACGCATCCAGTTCGAGAACACAGCGCTTAAAATTATTATTTTATATTTAAGTGATAGTCCTTCACAAGTCCACTACTGAACATAGGCCTAATAGTGAAGACCTAGTAAGACATATAGGAAGACGATACAGTTTGCTCAGGACCCAGCTTTGTAGTATTCCTTGGGGGAGGCCTGTGTTCAGAAGTGAACATTTAATTTAATAATAAATAAATATTGATAACTTCAGTTCAGATTCTTCGTTTTATGGCTGTCGCTATGCCAAGGAACCCTTATAATTTCATTCTTGCCCATAATGATTTCTTATATTTACGCAAGCATTAATACTGAGTTTATATAATTACTAATTTATGAATTTTATCGCGTTCGATTCAACTTAACTCCGACTCCCAGCGTTTCACATTCAACGTTACGCATCGTTGGGAGTTAAAAATAAGTTAAATTAAACGCGATCAAATCCATATCCGTGTCATATTTTCAATTCGCGTATATTGTCGTATTTTCAATTCGTGTATTTTCGTGTTCGAGTATATTGTCCTATTATGTCATATTTTCTATCAAGTAATAGATAAAGAGATTTTTGATCCAATAAATACAAAAAGACCTATAATTTTTTGTTATAAGAAAGATGCTGCAGTTCATCTTCTGCTTCATTTCCCTCTGTCGCCTCTTAGGACAGCCAAAGTTTGATATAGGGTAGTGGAGTCTCCTGTCGCCACTACCTTGCGAATAACTAATAGCTAATAGCTCTTACTGAAAACTAATTTTGATTATTACAACGGAAACTATCATATATCTTCATTATTATTATCATCTTCACGACAAATACAAATCCACTGCTCGATACGCATACGTTAGATTCCTTCATAAATTGCCACAAATACGTAGGAATATTGACCTCTCCCACAGATTGCCACAAATGTTATTTTACTTGCTGTCTATATAAGCATTGGTAGCAAGACGAAACTCATATTCGAAAAGAGCACGAACTGTAAAATTTTCCCATGTTCACAGATACAGCTATAGGGCACAAAGAAGTGAACAGGAAAATAAATGCACAACTTATTTTTGAAAGCATTTTAGCTCCAATAAGACATTAACTTGAATTTGAAATACTGGGTCCAATAAATCAATGCAAGATTTCGAACTTCAAGCTGGTCAGTTTAGATAATGGTCATTTCATATTTCATAAATTAGGTTTTTTTTTACAGAATAAGGGGGGACAAATGAGCACACAGTCCACCTGATGGTAAGTGGTGGCCCATAGACATCTACATTTATCTTCAATTAAGAATCAAAATGCAGATGCATTGACACCCTCAAGGACTGAGCTAGAATGCCTCGTTTCCAGTAAAAAGGGTCTCCGGTTCTCTACTCTCACCATACAAAACACAGCAGCATTAAACCGCTATTTTACGCTGATATTCTGTGAGAGCGTGGTCCTACCCCGGTCGAGCCGGCCCATTGGCGCTGCAAGCACAATATAGCTGAAGCATGGCTCTACTAAGTAAAAATTTTATAATATGATGAAGATGAAAAGAGATTCTGTTTTTGATTACTATAAAAGGTTAAAAAAATTTTGACACACGATTCCATTTAATCTATTCGTATGAATCTACTTGTCCTTTGTAAAATCATATTGATAGTCAGAAATTTGTTCTAAGTTTTAAAACATTTGACTTTAGAACTTACTTAGTTAAGTTTAAAGTATGGAGTTTTTGAAGTACTGCAAGTGGATTAAGGTCTTGAATACGGTTTACAGCTGCATGCAGTTCCCGTAAAGATGCCAAGCCCCACACGCCGTCTAAAGACGTTAGGCCACATCGATTTACGCTGAGCATCTAAAAAATAAACGTAAAACGAAGTGTTTATTATTTATATTCGTATTTTATTACAATAACCATTAAAATAAAATAGTATTCTATTTTATTCTTGAAATAGAAAATCATTTAATTCAACAAACAGTAAAAATAATAAATTAAAAACAAAATAATAAGTGCGCCTCCGGGTGTACCGACACTATTTTAGTGAACAGACTATACAATAGTAGTACTTGAATCAAATTAGTTGACTTCTTCTTAAAGAACGTGGTAGATACAGACAGATATTGCCAGCATCATAACGATGTTGGTGAAAGGGTGTTATACCATACGATTTCGGAAATGAAAAATAATACGTGCGCCTCCGGTTGTACCGATACTATCTTAGTGAACAGAACCAAGTGGTATACGCGACCCAGATTACCCGAATTACCATCAACTCTTACAATTCTACACTACAGCAGAATACACATACAAAGGGAAAGCTTATAAGTTATATACCCATAATATATCGTTTTTCGTAGTCCCACTAAAAAATTATAACTAAGTTCTAAAAGTTTGATTTTCTCGTGGTTATCTTAATGGAGTACCAACAGGTTGATCACAAGGAATAAATAGATTTCTCCAACAATATATTATCAAGTCCATTACTTAACTTCGCATAAATAATTATGTTTGAAATACTTTGACTAAGTACCCGGCAACGGATAGCTACGTCAAAATGTTATCAAGTCGTCAAATTATAATGTACCTTTAAATGTACTAAACCAATTCCTAGATCTCGCAATGACAACAATGCGCTTCCGTCCAAAGTCAAAGAGCAAAGTCGAGGTGCAAGCACGTGTAACCTCCTCAGTCCAACTCTCTCCGCAATCACGCGTAATTTCGCTTCGCGAATTCTCAATACTTCTTCGTCGGTCGTCACGCCACTGCACTGTTTCTGAAATTAAAAAAAATGTAAGACATTTTCATCAAGACAGAGCGCAGATAGTGATCTATTTACATTATAAATTAAAGTATCCCGCCACGTCTGTCAATATATATTAGCGCTAGTCCCAAAAACTTTTAAATTTTTTTTACGTAGTAGAGCCACACTGCAGCTATTATGGTTGTAGCATGAATGTGTCAGCTCAACCAGGGAAGGACCACGCTCTCACAGAATACCAGCGTAAAATAGCAGGTTAATGCTGTTCTGATTTCTTATATTTACGCGAACGCTATCGCGTATATTTAACTGTTTATATACCCGACGTTTCAAGCACATTACAGCACCCATGGTCACGGGGGAGATTGCTTATTATTTAATGCTGCTGTGTTTCGTATGGTGAATGTAGAGAACCAGAGACCCGTTTTACTGGAATCGAGGCATTCCATCTTAGTCCTCAAGGGTGATTCTTAAGCGAGGTTAAATGTAGATGTCTATGAGCCACAGCGTCCACTTACCATCAAGTGGACTGTGAGCTCGTTTGTCACCCTTATCCTATAAAAAAAACTACTGCAGGGGTTTTTTTACCAAAAGACAGACTGATTCTTTATTAGTTATATAAATAATAAACATTTTTTCGTGGTAGAGCCACGCTGCAGCTATATTATGGTTGTAGCATGATACGAGGCATTCAATCGTAGTCCTCAAGGGTGACAACGCATCTGCATTTTGATTCTTAAGCGAGGTTAAATGTAGATGTCTATGAGCCACAGCGTGCACTTACCATCAAGTGGACTGTGAGCTCGTTTGTCACCCTTATCCTATAAAAAAACTACTGCAGGGGTTTTTTACCAAAAGACAGACTGATTCTTTATTAGTTATATAAATAATAAACTTTTTTTCGTGGTAGAGCCACGCTGCAGCTATATTATGGTTGTAGCGTGATACGAGGCATTCAATCGTAGTCCTCAAGGGTGACAACGCATCTGCATTTTGATTCGTAATTGAGGATATAATACGTAGATGTCTATGAGCCACAGCGTCCACTTACCATCAAGTGGACTGTGAGCTCGTTTGTCACCCTTATCCTATAAAAAAACTACTGCAGGGGTTTTTTACCAAAAGACAGACTGATTCTTTATTAGTTATATAAATAACAAACTTTTTTACGTGGTAGAGCCACGCTGCAGCTATATTATGGTTGTAGCGTGATACGAGGCATTCCATCGTAGTCCTCAAGGGTGACAACGCATCTGCATTTTGATTCTTAAGCGAGGTTAAATGTCGATGTCTATGATATGAGCCACAGCATCCACTTACCATCAAGTGGACTGTGAGCTCGTTTGTCACCCTTATCCTATAAAAAAAACTACTGCAGGGGTTTTTTACCAAAAGACAGACTGATTCTTTATTAGTTATATAAATAACAAACTTTTTTACGTGGTAGAGCCACGCTGCAGCTATATTATGGTTGTAGCGTGATACGAGGCATTCCATCGTAGTCCTCAAGGGTGACAACGCATCTGCATTTTGATTCGTAATTGAGGATATAATACGTAGATGTCTATGAGCCACAGCGTCCACTTACCATCAAGTGGACTGTGAGCTCGTTTGTCACCCTTATCCTATAAAAAAAACTACTGCAGGGGTTTTTTACCAAAAGACAGACTGATTCTTTATTAGTTATATAAATAACAAACTTTTTTACGTGGTAGAGCCACGCTGCAGCTATATTATGGTTGTAGCATGATACGAGGCATTCCATCGTAGTCCTCAGGGGTGACGACGCATCTGCATTTTGATTCTTAAGCGAGGTTAAATGTCGATGTCTATGAGCCACAGCGTCCACTTACCATCAAGTGGACTGTGAGCTCGTTTGTCACCCTTATCCTATAAAAAAAACTACTGCAGGGGTTTTTTACCAAAAGACAGACTGATTCTTTATTAGTTATATAAATAATAAACTTTTTTTACGTGGTAGAGCCACGCTGCAGCTATATTATGGTTGTAGCATGATACGAGGCATTCCATCGTAGTCCTCAGGGGTGACGACGCATCTGCATTTTGATTCTTAATCTATACATATAATAATTCTGTAGAAAAGTTGTGTCTCTAATTCTAATATTTTCTGAAAAAAAAAACAAGTCCAGGGGACTAAATAAAGGGCACTGAAGCCAAATTAGTGGTTTTAGAATTTTCTCTATCTCTGCGTATTAAAGATTTCCATAAAATTTTGTGTATAGGTAGTTAGGGACCCGGGATTACTTATAGGCTACTTTTTATCCGATTACGGAACTTCAAAAAAAAGAGTGTTAAATATTTTCCTTCCTTTGGGTGTTAATTTCTATTTTATACGATTGGTGCGTTTTATTATCTTAATATATATATATATATATATATATATATATATATATATATATATATATATATATATGACACGTACCTAATTTATATAATATATAAATTACGTGTCACGTTCTTTGTCCGCGATGGACTCCTAAGCTACTTAACCAAATTTTAACCAAATTTGCACATCATGTACAGTTTGGCCCAATTTTTTTTTGCGAAAATAAGGATTTTTAATAGGATATGACAAAAGGTCGTCGAAAAGGGCAGAACAACGTCTGCCTGACAAGCTAGTAATAAATAAAATATAAAATATTTATAAATAAAACCGAAAATTAGTTTTAACCGTTGTGTAATAAATTGAACTACGTCGTATTAAACTAACTACAATCTACGATATTATTGTTGTATTCACTTTTTCAAGATCCATCTAACGTAAAATAAAAAAACATAATAAAACGTAATAATAATAATTGTAGTGTAAGTGATTACAAAATGCTAATAAGTATGTAATGAAATAAAGTTCATAAATCGGAATGAAGGTAATATCATAAATATTGCCTGTTAAGACACAAGTATAAATGTCCACTGTTTCGAGCGCACCGCGCGCACAGAGCCGCGGGCGAGAGTGGACGTGTAGTGAACCGTGAGTTTACGTGTGCATGTGTGAAACAGTGAATCCCTGGCTATTACAATAATTATAATTTTTATTGACACAATGTAAGGATTACATTATTTATCTTTAAGACATTTGAACAAATGACATGAGTTATAACTTATCTATACAATTTTATACACTAGCGTCTAAACTAGGCCGAGCCTGTATCTTAGACACTAGTAACTTCCAAAGGCACCATTATTTACAGTTATAAGAGTATACGGCGTATTATGATTACGTTACAAATCCGCAAATACATTACCACTTTTATGCGTTTACCGTCACACTAACTTATTATGCGTATGAAAGGTTAGAATACTATTCATAGGAACTTTTTTAATTTCTTAATTTATAATGCAATAAATGATTATTGTTATCACAAGTCAGAGAACTATTTTTTGGTGATAGGTTACAATGAATTATTGCAAAAATATATGATATATAACTTTAGTAATTCTACAGGTATTTAACAAAAGTTATGCAATGTACAGTGAACAGTCAATACATATTAGGTATATAATTATTTATGGTTTTTGCAAAGGTTTTTTTATTTACATTTTGACTTAATTAAATATAGTTTTATAAGTAGCTATAAAAGTGAAATAATTTTTAATTATTACAGTTAAAGTACTTTAAGTAGATAGTTATGTTATTCTAATGTAGTATTATTTTAGTGACTAAGAAATTTACAATTTCTTCTGTATTTAGAGTCTTTAACCAAGATAATAGTCTAAACTACTATTATCTTGGTTATAATATTATTATTATAACCAAGATAATAGTAGTTTTTTACATTGATATTTGTTAAGCGAGTAGATTTGTAGAATTTTATTTATTTTATTGTAAAGCATAGGACCTAAGTAGCATTGAAATTTAGTTATAAAATATGTTTTAAAATGGCAAGTAGGACAAACCTTATCTTTCCTGCGATTGGTTGATAATTCGTGATTATATGTAAGTTTTTCATGTTGGAATATAACAGTGTCTTTTATATACAATTGTCTGTCAATACGTCACATTCTGTATATGTCTGTATTTGTCTGTAGAATAGCTAAATGGTTTAAATGTCCTTAATTTGAGTAATATACGCTGCGCTCTTTCTAATTTTATGAGATGAGTTTTACGGGCTCCACCGCATGGGGTAATACAGTAAGACAAGACAGACTGTGCCAATGATAAGTAAACAGTCTTCAGTAAAGAATAGTCTGTCACGTGTCTTAGTTTTTTGAATACATATACAACTTTTTGTTTTCCCTGCTAACTGATTAATATGAGGGCACCATGTCAGATTTTCATCCAACACTACGCCCAAGTATTTTACTGTGTCATTTCGGTCTAAACATGTGCAGTTGCATTGAATTGAGCTTTTGTTTTTGCAGATGTGTATTTTATTTTAAATGAATTTTCAGTAGTTAGTGCTCGTTTTTTATTTGCAAACAACATAAATTTTGTTTTAGAGATATTCAAAGTAAGAAAGTTTTGGTTAAGCATTTGTAACGTTGCTTGCATTCCTAATTCAGCATGAATCCTAACTTCGTCCCAACTTTATTTAAAAATAAAGTTGGCCCGAGTACATCATAGTTAATAGAAGCATTGTTACTAAAATAGCCGTCAATGGTTACTCTCTGGATCCTATTTTTAAGTAGTCCTCGAATAAAGCAAGTGCCATCCCTCTGATACCAACTTTTTCCATTTTACTCAACAAAATTGGTATAGAAACTGTGTCGAAGGCCTTTGCCAAATCTAAAAACACTCCAATACATTTAAATTTACCATCTATTTGACTAACTACAAATTCAGTTAGATCAATAAATTCATCATCTGTTGATCAACTAGCTCTAAAACCATAATGATTGTTGGATAAGATATTATTTTTTCTAAACACAATATTAGTCTTTTGTTCAAAATGTTTACAAAGATTTTGTATAGGGAAGGTAGTACAGAAATCGGGCGATAATTATTAATGCATTCTGTTAGGATGAATTACTGAAATTTTAAAGACGTCCGGAAA